TAATGACAGAAATTTAGATAATTTCAAATACTTAATACAGAGCTGTGAAATACTTAAGCTGTCGAAGCAATGAAGTTTTTATTTTTTTAGGTTAAAAAAAAGAGTTTTTAAAATCACGTTTGTCTGCCCTATTCTTTTCCTTTCACATTTGTCTTAATTAGTTCTTTACGATCTTCGAATCTTCAACTGCATATAAATAACATTTTATACACACTTTTTGTTTTCCATAGATCCGCCCAAGATGATGAGTTCTGGTATTGAACAATAGACCACTTGGGCAAGTAATTTGTGTTAAAGAAAAGACATATCTGAAATCTTATTTTCACACACCTCTGATTCGAAGTGCATAAAGAACTAATTAAGAGGGATGTGAAGGAAAATCGTCTGGAGACATAAGACATTTATTTTTTTTTTCTTTGCAGTTCCAGAAAACATTAATTCTGTACGTTGGATAGAATAAAAAGATTAGGATTCTGTCTCGTCATTGGCCGTATATTTATTCTAGAACCAGAGTGTTTCTCCACAGTGAAGAATGAATACACACATAGGTAAGTACATATATAAAAACACATAAGATATTACATAGGAAATACTTCTGTTTATATAAAAATATAAGAAGTAGTTAAAAAGAAAAATCTAGAAAACATTCTTATTTAATAATAAACGAATGCTTTGGGTCTTATTATCAGCTCCCCAGTGGCACAGCGTATGTCTGCGGACTTACAACGCTAGAAACCGGGTTTCGATACCCGTGGTGGGCAGAGCACAGATAGCCCTTGTGTAGCTTTGTGCATAATTGAAAACAAACAAACCTATTATCAGAGTAATCTTGAAAACTGTTTCTTTTTAAGCGCAAAGCTGCACATTGAGTTATCTGTGCTGTATCCAACATAGGATCGAGCTCCGTATTTTGACGTTATAAACCATTAAGGTTTTCGTCAAGCCACCGGTGGGGGCGAAATTTTAGTGACTTTTGCCTAATGATAAATTTTTATCCCATCCAACCATTGAAACGTGACGAAAGCAGAATATTAAATATATATTTTTAATGCGATTTTGACTTTTTCAACTTGAATAACAAATTTATATAATATTGCACCATTTAAAGCATCAACCAAGGCATGAGCAAGTTGTTAAAGAAAAGTGATGCCCGGAAAATTAAACTTTACCGCCCAGAAATAATTTGTTAAAAACATTTTGTAATTTTTTCGAACAAATGTAAATAATACGTAAAAACCCTTGTAGTTTTTACGTATTATTTACATACAAGTTACAACAGTCTCTTGTTATGTAAATAATACGTAAAAACTACAAGGGTTTTTACGTATTATTTACATACAAGTTACAACAGTCTCTTGTAGTTTTTACGTATTATTTACATACAAGTTACAACAGTCTCTTGTTTTTTGAAGGGCTAACAGCGATTACTGATTAAGTGTTACTTCTTGTAACACTGTTGTGTAATAATGAGTAAAGTATAATAATAATATAATATAATAATAACACCAAGTTGTTTTCGTCGACAATGCTAGTCAGAATCTATATAAATATAATAGTACTGTCTGTTGTCTATATAAATATAATAGTACTGTCTATTGTCTATATAAATATAATAGTGCCGTGTGTTGTCTATATAAATATAATAGTGCCGTGTGTTGTCTATATAAATATAATAGTACTGTCTGTTGTCTATATAAATATAATTGTACTGTGTGTTGTTTATATAAATATAATAGTACTGTCCGTTGTCTATATAAATATAATTGTACTGTGTGTTGTCTATATAAATATAATTGTACTGTGTGTTGTCTATATAAATATAATAGTACTGTCCGTTGTCTATATAATGGTATTGTCTGTTGTCTATATAAATATAATAGTACTGTCTGTTGTTTATATAAATATAATAGTACTGTATGTTGTTTATATAAATATAATAGTGCCGTGTGTTGTCTATATAAATATAATAGTACTGTCTGTTGTCTATATAAATATAATAGTACTGTGTTATCTATGTAAATATAATAGTACTGTGTGTTGTCTATATAAATATAATAGTACTGTGTGT